CCGGCCGTGCCCGCTCCCGTTCCCGGACAGCGGCTCTCCAGGCTCCGTGCTACGGCTCCCCTGGGAAAGACAAGCGTACCCGCTTCCAGCTCCGTTATAGACAATGTGTGCCTTGTACAAACATAATAGTGTCAGACCAAGGCTGCGTGATGCGGAATGCTCGCTAATCCGTGTACACCTCTGCTGGGATGCACACACTAATATATATGTGTACACTCATACCAGAGTTTCCCCCCAAATGATGTTTCTTCCACTGCCACCCTCCCACCAATATCTTTCTCCTCTGTGAAGGAGAAGGGCTGCAGAACCCACCCCAGGGCCCCAGGGTTCCTCCATTCTGCAATCTGCTTTTGCATCATCTTCCGTGTTGGCCTCCTTGTGCCTTCTGCTTTTCGGGGGAACACACTTGGCAGGGTAATGACCTCCCTCAGCAGTTTTCTTTCCCTTCCTAGCACAATGAATGCCCTCACCTGCAGACATTCCTTTGCACTTTTCTGAACGTCTGAGCAATCACTTAAAAGGGCTTTTCTGCTCTTCTTGCCCTTGCCCTCGAGGCCAAGCTTTACGTGTAGTAGTACTTCAAGTAAAGTGTGTCAGGGAAGAGAAGGGACTCTAAAATACCTTTTCCCCTCAGTTATGGAATACTCATTTTCCCTTTTCTGGTCCTTGATTACATTGAAATTATAGATAGATGAGGTTTTTTTGGAGGAATGCATGGGGTTGTTGTGACCCAAGTGTAGGATCTGGCACTTGGCCCTTGTTGAACCTCATACCATGGGCTTCAGTCCATGGATCCAGCCTGCACAGAGCCTTCCTACCCTCCAGCAGATCAACACTCCCACACAGCTTGGTGCTGCCTCAAACTTACTGAGGGTGTGCCAGATCTCCACATCCAGATAAATACATTAAACAGGAATAGCACAAATTCTGAGCCCCAGGGAACACCACTCATGGTTGGCCACCAGCTGGGTTTAACTCCATGCACCACCACTCTCTGGGTCCAGCCATCCAGACAGCTTTTTCGCCCAGTGGACAATGCACCCATCCAAGCCATGAGCATTTTCTCCAGGAGAATTCAGTGTGAAATGATGTCAAAGAATTTGTAAAGTCTAGGTAGACACATCCACAGCCTTTCCCTCATCCACTGGGCAGGTCACCCTGTCACAGGAGGAGACAGGTTGGTCAAGCAGGACCTGCCTTTCACAAGCCCATCCCCTGCTTGTCCTGTTCCATTTGATGGCACTCAAGATGATCTGCTCCATGATCTTCCCTGGCACTGAAGTCAGGCTGGCAGGGCTGCATTGCAATACCCCAGTTGTGCAAGTTCCCCACCTTGTTTCCATGATGGCAACTGTATCACAATTTTCCTGCTGC